ACAGCTTTCAGCCAGTTGTGCAAGTATAAACTCTGCTGTCTCCCCTTCCTTCCACAACACTTGTAGACAAAAAAGTACACGACAGTGACTTGATCTTTTAGTGTAAGACATTTTTACCATGCCATTTTGTGTGTGTGAGTGTGTGAATTAATCAACACAATACCAAGTGATTCACAATTCCAAGTAATTCAACCTGTTGTTCCCAGCACAGTCCAGAGAAACAAGGAGCTGCAAGGCTGTGCTCAGACAGATTTTTTAAAAATATTTTTCCTTGCAAAAACTAACAAATGGTTTGCCATTTGTAGGCAGGCACATTTTGTTCATTCAGAGCCAGGAGGACTATCTCTGCATGACATGGGGCTTGTACTGTACCATGTGGATTTATCCTGCAAAATTAGGTGCTGGAATACTTTTAGTACGTTCAGGGGAAGCATTTGCTTAGCTCCTTTCCTAGTTCTGCAGAACTAATACACAGGACAAGGCAGCAATCAGACTATTTACTCGGAGACATCACCATACATCAAGTGTCTTTCATCAATCAGGTCCCTAAGATGATGAAGCAATGCAACTTGTAGTATGTCGTATCAATGAACTGAGCATCTTTGCTAGAGTGCTGACAAAAAAAGGCAATGTGAGACCAAATTGATCTGATTTGCCTTATTTTAAGGCCTATGCAGTAGGGCTTGGTGAAATATAAGGCACTATAAAAATAGGTTGAAGGCAAAGTTGGTCACAGAATGCAGGATAATGTTTCATTGTGTATCAAAGAGGGAAGCTGTCAAACCCCAAGGCCAGGCAGCTGCAATCCAAGCAGCTGTTGACAGTCAGTTTACAAGACATTTGTGATAAGTGCTTTTGTTGTAATTAAAAAGCTGTGCAAATCTACCCAGTTGTGTCGTAACCAGTACCTTATCTCCTGTACCAAAATGAGGACAGACCTCACCTGTCAAAGACAATTAATTTAGATAGCTCTCCTCTGGACAGGAGAAGAGTTAATCACAAAGTCTCTGGCAGAATGTTTTCCTTTTGCCAGTGAAGAGTGCCAGCTGATTATAATTTAAATCTCCTATACAAAGATGCAGATTTGGATCAATTTGATGACAAAATAAGCCAAATCTTAACGTTTCATTTTTTTGATGGTTCCTTTGCTCACTTTACACATAGTCTCAGAACCCAGACTCCCTAGTTCCCAAATTCTGCCAGTCCTGAGGAGAGATGGGAGCTGCAAGCCCAGGGACTGAGCAGCCCACAGAGCTCTGGTTACTCTGTGCAGCAATAAACAGAAGGGCCCGAGCAGATGAGTTAACACAGCCTACACTTTCCTTTGAACAGACAGCTTCCCTCCATCTCCAGTTCACCCCCACCCAAATTCTAGAATTCTCCAGAGGCAGAAGTGTTTTTCAAAAAAGGACAGTTAGGGATCATGTATAGCCCAACCAATCTGGGGAAAATGCTGGAGATTAAAGATGATTGGAAAGACTGTATGCATCAGTGGCTCTGCTGCATAGGGATGGTCTCACAGAACTCAGACAAGGTCAGGGAACCCTGAACATTGCTTAGGGAGAAGAATGTCTGTGTGATCCTTGGCTGGTGAATGAAGGAAGACAGGAAAAGAAGATTCTGAACTTGCAGCATCTGTCTTTTGATGCAGGTGAAAGGATGGCACCATATAGGTGGTCTCTTGTTCTGCAGAAAGGTAAACAGCCTGCTAGGAAAGAGGCTAAAAATACGTACTACAAGAAGAACTGATAAAAAAAACCCCAAATCCAACCAAAAACCCCTAGTCTTTCAGAATGAAATCAAGACAGCAAAACCAAAATTCATAAAGAATGCAAAAGTAGTAGATATTCTGTAAAACAATACCAGATAGTCTGGGTAAAAAAAATGAAAGTAATTAGACTTACATATTTATAAATTCAGTGTAGCATTACATGGGAAGAACTGCGTAACTGAAACATTAAAGTCAATGGTTAGAACCTATTTTTGGAAAGATAAGTAGAGAGAGGGAGAAGAAGAGTGGTACTTCACAATAAAAGAGCCACACTCTGTTTTCAGGACACTGGCAGCTCAGAAGCAAATGATGTGAATGCAATGGATCAATACTCTAACAGATAAAACACTAGATGGGATAGTAGCTGCTGTCTGCAAATCACCAAATCATAGAAGACAGCAGGATGACTGGATGCCTTTGCTCCTGTAATGTGAAGGAGCAAAAAGGCTGCACAATCATCTGAGACTGCAGCCTGCCCAACATCTGCCTGAAGTTTCATGATGCCAGTACCTCTGCTGAATTATTGAACATCCTATATGAACATCTATTAACCCAAAATGGAGAACTCTCCAAGAATGAGAATTTTATGTCACACAGCATCTCAGAAACAATGAAAAATTATCAGAGGCATTTGGTCAGAGAAGTAAATTAATATTAGTGGCTATGATGATAACTTGATTGCTCTTTATGTGCAGAAAGAGAATGAAGCCCACAGTTATATGGATGGTGCAGTCTTTTTACCAGCCTGAAATTATGGAAAAGGAGAATCATCTCAGAGAAAAAATAGTTCAATAATGTGAAAATACAAACGTTTATTAGCTGGAAAATCAGGAAAGAAAGTTGTATGTGTTCAAAAATTATCTAGATAAAAGGGTTAATGAAAACCTCTACTTGATTGTAAATCAATAAAATGAAAAAAAGAAGGTTAATAACACCGAATATAGAGTAGAACTAAGGCACTACATGTATAATTCCTCCAGTAAGTGTAGCTAAGTTGTAAGGAGAAACTTATGGCCAGAGAATTAAGGACAATATTTTTCAAAATCATTAGGAATCCTGACAATAGTACCAGTTCTTTATCAGATTGAAGTGGAAGATTTGTTAAGAGTAATGGAGGCAAGAAAGAAGTGTTCAATAAGTATTTGTGTTCACTATTTAAGGAATGATAAACTACCAGGTCCAAAAAAAAAATCAAAAAAAATTACTGATGTAAGAAAAGTAAGAAACACTTGTGTAGGAAACTTCAAGTAACTTATATCCAAGAGTTGTCCAATAGCTGACTGCAGAATCTCTAGTATTTTTACTGCTTTTTGCTAAGTCTTGGAACAATTGGGAAGGTTCCAGAAAGCTGGAGGAAAACTTATGTTGTGTTAATATTTAAGAAGGATAAACTTAATGACCTAGATAATTACAGTCCTGTCAGTATAAAATTGATCTGGAGTAAAGTAATGGAATGGCTGACAAGGGACTCAATTACTAACTAATTAAAGAGGAGAAATATGCTAAATGCCAATCTAAGTGCAATATGGAAAACAGATACTGTCAAACACATTTGCTGGCTTTTTTTCCAATTGTGAGTACAAGTGAAAGACAACACTGTTGATACACTTGGATTCTATATGACATTTGATGTGGTATTCATGACATTTGAGTTAAGAAAACATGATAATACAAAATTGACATGTCTCACATTAAAGGAATAGAAAACTGGTTAACTGACATTTCAAAATGGCAATTTAGATGGGGAATGATCATAGAACAGGTATTCTGCTGGGATAGCTTTCTGGGCATACACTAGTTCACAATTTTATCAGTAATTTAGAGGAAAACACACAGGCTCACAGAAGGTTCAGTCATTACAGAAGAAATTGGTAATAAAAAGAAAATATCACTGAGACTGTTGACGAAGTATTACTCGGTGATCTCGTGCAAACTCACAAAATAAGATCCAAAGGTAAAACCAAAGGAGCAAAAGCTTCAGGAGTCTAGGTTGGCTATTCTATATGGGTTTGAAAGCTCTAAGAAGGCTAATTCAACAATTAAGCTATTTTTTAAAATGTGATTATCTGGTCCTATGACAAATAGTAAAATAAACTCACATTCATATCCCATGTCACTGCTATCATGTCTGGATGTACTTCAAGAGTAATATATCCAACCACGCTGCATGGAAAAAGGATGAAATGAATCCATATTACATCATGCTACTAATACGCATTCAGAGCTCACACTGTAATAGTTCTGAAGTGAACATTACAGTTAATGCAGAGAGTATGCCTGAAACAGTAACACACAAATTCTTAACAAACCCCTTGGCAGCATATCAGACTTGAAGGATCCTCAAAGCTGAGCATGTGAAAAGCATTTCTTCCCTTTATTTAGTCTTATCCTTATCACAGGAATACTTTTTTTCATTTCCCTTACTCTGGTAGCTGACAAAATATAGCCAAGTTCTAAGTGGTATATACCAGAATCTGGCCCAAAATTAGGTGGTGACAGCTGCTGCATTACATATGCCAGTGCTGACAGATAAACCCAGAATCTCCGGTCCTTTCACAAACACAGCTACTCTACATATGTTTACTTCAGCACATACAGACCGAGTAAAGATTTACAGATCAGAGCTGTTGCTTGTTAATCAATCATGTTCTTAGCTGGGAACAGGAAAATAGCAAAGTTTGAGGCTGCATGAGTTCTCGTTGCCTTCCTCCCTTAGCACCATGGGGTCCACCGGGGAACAGAAGTTACGTAGGCCTAACACTCCTGTATTTGCAAGTAGAGGTTTGCAGCTTTCCCTGAAAAGTGATCTCTCCCCCAGCCCTTCTAATTTACACAGCCTCTCAAGCATGTGCTCAGTGTCTACTTCTGGGGTTTCAGTGGCTTCAGCCCCGAGACTGCTATGCTCTGGCAAGGTTGTGCCCTTTATGACCAGGATCCAATGGAACTTTTCCACAACGGGCATTTGTGCCTGCAATGTGTTTTAACATACAGAAATACAATCATGACTTATTGCAAGTGTAGGTTTTGTGGCTGAATTGCAGAGTATTTTTAGGGCAGATGCCTTAAAATGTCTCTCAAGTGTGTACAGCTGATTTACAACACTTATGAGAAAAAAGACCGTTGTTTCTTTGGGTTCAGTGAACTGCCAGATATTATTATAGTGGCATATACATAAACAAGAATTAAAGTGTTTTGCACAAAATCATGCATAAATTATGTCAGACAATTGGAAAATTGTATACATTTATTCATGTTTTAAAATAATCCAGGCACAATTTTGCAAATACACAGAAGCACATTCTCCAAATGGGAGCAAAAACTAAGTAACATATAGCAAGAAAACACATGGCAAAACATACAAAGTTAAGTATAAATGGTATGAAAGTTTTTCTTAGTCTACAGTGGTATCTGCTATCAGTACACTTGTCAGCATTACAAAAGGCAACCAAAGAATACAAGTAATAAATTGTGTAACATGAACCACCTAAAAAAGTTTATGTTAGCAGCATATAGTAGCAACTTTCTAAGAACAGAAGAATGCTTGCACACTGTATATAAATGCATATATGCACACATATACAGATACAACTGGAAGGCCACAAGAACAAAATTACCCTGGGAAAATGATTAAGGGAATTTTTATGTGTCTTGCAGTATATAAAAACAATGCATGCATTAGCAAGCACCCAGCATGTTCAGGATAAAATTACATCCACAAGCAGAATCACATTAACTCTTTATCAGACAAAGCACTTTCCATGCTGTACCCATGTTGGATCACTTTGTCCTATATCACACTCCTGATTTATGGAGCACATTTGGATGGTAAATTTAGGAATAATCAGGAGCCCTTGGTTCCCATGGTCTGACAGGAGGAATCAGATCTCAAATTTGAAAGAAAGATACCCATGGAAAAAAATACCCTTGCAAAGCCTGAGTTAAAAGATGTTCTAGCAGGAATTCCACTTTGCTGTGGGACAGTCCAGTACAGTGACCTCACTTAATGAGCTTTAGTTTGCATGATGGAGTGTTCCTGAGCATGTACACCAGATTCCTTCTGGATGGAAGCAAAGGATGTGCTCCAATTACTAGTGGCACTCAGCCCCTGGGATCAAACTAGAGGTAAGTGTGGAGATCAGGTCCTTAGCACCAACAGTTTCAGGCTACAGATCCTATCCAGCTAAGCTAATTCTTTGCTTACACAGACACAGGCTTTGGAAATACACAGAATAAACATTAATCAACAAGTACTATAAGCTGTATTTACCATGTAGATTAGTCTTAGTTGTTCTTACTTGCCCCTACCTGATGAAAAAGGGACCTTCCCTACAGACACCCATTGTGTTTGCAGACACTCAATGTGTTTGCCCTGTGTCTCTGTATGAGGGGGGTGCAGGTGATCAGCCAAAAGAGCAGTGAGCAAACAATTTGTTTTTCCTTCAACCATCTTCAGAAATATTATTTTCAGTAGCAAAATTATTAAAAACTCTGCAGGCATCTTAGCCAATCTTCCACATGTTCAATTTGCAGTGAAAAGATACTCCTGTAAATAAAGAAACTTTGGGATCATTGCCCTCTTAACATCTTAACAACATCAGTATCAAAAAAGTCATTCCCAAGTTACACTTGGGATGTGAGATTTCCTTAGAACAGAACATAGAATTGTGATTGTGAATGCTAGAATAGGTTCACAAAAGCAAGCTGAATTATTTCTGATATTTCAATGAAAAATGTCAAATTTAGTAATTATTTCCTGACTGGTTTCAACAGTTTATTTGCTGCCAGCTGCTAACAGCACTAACAGAACTCCAGCAAAGTGCTCTGGGCAAAACATGATATGAGAAAAAGAAAAAGTACTACTTCTGCTTGAACTAACTTTACACAAAACTTACATTATTTATTATAGTGGAGAATAAAATGTGTAACATGCTATCATGCATAATACATGGTAAGAACATGCATTAGTTCAAGTTTACAGTCTCTTTCCAATAAATTAGAACAGCAGTGGAAGATGTTGACAGCTGCATATTTTGAGGAATTCCCAGAAACAGCAGCAAGCAATGCAAAAAAAAGACATTAAATCAGCTGTGTAAGACATCCATGAAACAGTAACTCTTTGTGAGTTAATAATACAAACAATAACAAAACCCAGTGATATCTTTCCTATCATATTCAAAGAAACTGAGTTCAGCACCTGAGGTGAGACTGTGCCCCAAGCAAATCACGCTGCTGACTGGGAGTGTGTCCCTGCTCTGACACGGCAGCCCCAGGGCAGATTCAGCACTCTCCTGGTCCACAGAAGGGGAGGATGGGCAGGCTTTGTGTGATCACAGGCTGCCTAAATCAGATGGAGAATTCTTCTCCACTGGGGCTGGAAAGAGCCCAAAGCTGCAGCTGGGTGGGGACCTACAAAATCCGGGGGAGCAGGCCCAGATGTGCTACACATGTTAGTATGGCTTCCACAGAAGTCCTCTCAATGGACAGAGACCTTTTCTTTCTCCCTCAGCCCCTTTTGGAGGGTTTGCCTAGGAGACTCTAATCCAGAACACACTCAATCTTCTGCAGATTGTGCTAGACAAGGTTTACAAAAAGCTTCCCCTTCCCTATGACTTCAGCTATACACATCACAGCAATAGCCAGAAAAATACAAATCAATCTGGTGGCTGGCTTCACTGCTCTATGGTTAAGTTTCATTCCTGTGCATCCTCTCAGGAAAGAAGGAACAGAATGAAACAGATCTGTTGAAAATGAAACGTTTCCTCCCCAAAGGAACTAAATATAGTCAGGAATAACAGGACTTTTAAAAATAAATATATGACTGTTGCTCACAGTAATCACAATGCCCACAGACAGCTCCTGTGTGATACTAACACTGAGGTTCACTCTTGTGGGTACCCTAAGGTTCATCATGAACACACCCCAGCCTTGCTTCAGCACAACTAAAGACACACTATTTCTGACAAACATGCAGAAAAAAAGACAGCAAATTCTAAGCATCAATATGTAAAGTGCTTCTGATTTCCTGCTTACTAAGAGCACCATCCAGCTATAATCCATAAGGGATTATTTACTTAATTCTTACTTACCTGGACACGTCTTCTGGTTGAGTATCTGTGCTCTGCTACCAGCTATCTTTGTGTGGGGTCCTACTTCAGTCCAGCCCACTAGCAGGTGAATAATGGAAGACCATGAGCATCATCCCTCCAAGAGCTGGATAGGTCTCTCTTTATTAATTCTGCCAAGTATTTTGTGCTTTGGTACTTCCCAGACAAAACACTGCTTACCCTGGCACCCAGGAGTGCAAGGATTTTACTGGGGTAGGTGCTGTATTCATGAACTTGCCAAAGCCACTTCCATTAGTTTTGAAGAGAGTCCTCAGAGATCCCTAAATCAGTGAGTGGTTCAGATAATTTGTATCAGGCTGACTTCTTCATCCATGGTGGTATTTATGTGCAAATATTTAACAACACAGAATTTGCCTCCATTTTTTCCTGTAAAGGGTGTGCTTTCCCATTGCTGATAATTCCTACTCAAAAGAGTAGGACAATTATTCTACACTGGAGCTAAAGGCATTTGAAGAAACTGAACACTACATTAGTAAAGTATTTCCAAGAGAGATCAATGGGTACTCCTTGCCTAAAGCAGTTTAGGGGCACTTTTTAGAAGTTGGAACACCATCTGCTCCTAAGTAGAGCTCTCCATAAGTCCTCCCCATTTACTGATGTAACTGATAGGAGCAGTCTGCAGATGGAGCCTCCCAGCCCAGATGGAAAGGGAATTTGGCTGGATATATAAACTAATTTTTTTCTTTCTGAGAAGAGGCTTTGGAATAAGCAGAAGGATGTGATCTGGACATCTAATGGGGATGAAAAGGTTGGGAAGATGTCTGTTATGTCAGTTTAGAAAGAAAAACAACACTTACTTATTTTATTCAGTCATTTATCTATGAATAGTAATTAGCCAGCCAAAAAGAATATTTTAAAATGAAAATTTCTGCTCCTATTTAAAACTTTTTGCTATGAAAATAAAAAGTCAGAAGGTAATGTAACATAAAACATAAAGTATATTAACATTTAAATGTTTATTAAAACCATACCATTTATGCCCTTTTTCCCCCTCTTACAAAAAAAAAAAAAAAAAAAAAAAAAAAAAGTTTATTTAAATCCCCCCTACATTTTAAAAGAAATTTTTGATGACTACTCAGCTCATGATGAGGAAAAACAAAAAAGGCCAAACTATTTTTGAGGGTTCCTCTATTAACAGCAATGTGAAAATGCATTTTGAAAACCTCAGGTAAACTCCCTGCCTGTTTTATACTCAAGAGTAGTTGATTAAAATAGGACTGCTTGAATGAATAAGCAATTAGGATATGATTACATTCAGGTAAACTGTAGTAGTTTTATCTTATAGAATTAATAAGTGATTCTCAGCTGATTTCTTAACTGCTCTCAGAAGGTGAACCACCAAGATCCCTTATAGACACCCGAGAACTGACATTCTTTCTTTAGTACCACAGCTAGGTTTTAACAGATTTCAACCACGTAATTTCTTTGTAGAATCATCTTTAACACAGTGGTCACAGTTACTTACTCGTACAATAAAAATCATGTAAATGCATTTAACATGCTAAAGACAGGCTCATTTAAGTAAGAGAACTGATATTAATTTTTTCTAGTACGAATGAAGCCTGCTGCAATGTTTCTAATGTGGATCTGCTCTAAGTGCAAATCCAGGCAGACAGTAACACCTTTATTTTGCTCTGTGACGCCCAAACTCTAATTGTGTTCTCAATTTTGTGTACATGTAGATGTTCTTAGAGCAGTATTTATCTTAGCTATCCTTTGTGATAGTGTTTCATGCAGCATGCAAGCATTCTTCAAAGAGGTTCAGAATGAAGCACGTATTTTACAACACATTTATGGTGAATTGGAAAGTATTAATTACCTTAAAACCTTTCTCAAGCTTAAAAACCAAGTGAACACAACTCAGGCAGAATCTTTATGCTCACTGGGGAGTAACACCCAGGGGGAGAAACACTCCATGGAAGTCTGTACAGTCCAAACAATTTCATGTGCAGCACTTTCATAGCAGCTTTCTATTAACCCAGAAACATTCTAAATACAAGTTCAATTGGTTGATGCTCTTCCTTGCAGTTCCTCTTCCCTTAAGGAAATTGTAGGACTTTCCAAGCTGCCCTGTAAAATATGTGTGGAACATTCTCCCTAATTTTGCATGTCCTGCATTTTTCAAATTCTGCCTTACAATTTTTTATTACCTTTCCACATATCCAGCCACCTATGTGAACTGAACAGATGCATGATAATAAGTCTGGTTTTTCTACTACAGCTCTTCTTCCAAACATGACTCTTCCCCCCCTTTTGATTTCATCCCATGTTGTATCAGCATACAACTGATTTTAAACTCCAGGGACAAGAAACAGCCACTTTTAATTACTTGTATAACACAGCATTGCATGTAATTTTCAGACACTTTGGGCACCTTTTCTTCAAAGCATCATACAAATAAGTTAAAAATGGGAATACTCATCTCAACAGCTTTCAAGAAGGTCAGTCAAGAAAGGTAGTAGGAAAATACTATTGTTCTCCTTCTCCAAACAGGAAGGTGAGACGTAAGTCATGCCAGAAACCTGGGACAAAGGCTGTGTTTGAATACAGATGTTTATCCAAGATCATAAGCATGGCCCCAGCCTTTGTCTGACAACCAGAATGAATAGGTAAGAGTACTAAAGAAAGCAGTGAAAGCTGAGCTATATTATATAAAAAAAAAAATAAAATCAGAGAGCTGCATTTATGGTAGAAAATAAAAGATGCAACAGAGATGATACCCTGGAATCACCTACCAACAGGAACAAGAAAACAATGATCAGGAGGAGGAATGATGAGGAAGAGATTTCCTCCCCATCCTATAAGTTTGAGCTGTTGATGAGAGAATATACATGCAATGAATATATAAAATATAGATTTATATATACAAATATACAATAGGAAACAGTCACTATACAAATACTTACATGTAAAAATAGCTTTTTACTTTCCCCTTTTCTTGATTTACAAAAGCATACAAAGTTTCCTGTTGGTAAATGTCTAAGTAGTGTGAGTAAACCCTGTGTGACATGTTCCACACATAATTCCTTCAAGTGTTCACAGTATTGGCTATTACAGTGTTGAATCTGACATTCTGGATGTTAAAAAATTCATAGGACACATTCTAAACTTAAAGCATTAGTTTAAATACAGTTTAAATAAAACTCACATACGTATTTGAATTATTGTCATATTACAAATGAGTCTGCTGCAGTTGAAAACTTTCCATGACAGTAAGCTTGGAAATACATACTTAAACTAGAGATGAGTATATTTTAAGGTTCTTGAACTGCCTTTTAATGTGCAGATAATACTGTGAGATGGGGAGTTCTTTCAACTTCATCTGAAGGAATGCAAGCTGATAGAACTCAGTATTACAAATTATCCTCAGTAGGAAAGTGGATGCACAGAACAATTTGCCATCAGAGTCAGACACACTGTCACTTTCTTCAAATACCCAACAGACAAGAATAAATGACAGGTACCATTGTTTTTGTGTTAAGAATAAATGATCTGGAGCATTCTGCATCAGGAAAGTGCTTTAAATGAAATTAAATTAATCCTCACAACTCTCTTGTGAGGTAGATAGACACTACTCTTGTTTTTAAAGATGGAGAAACTGAAGATCTAAAATAAATTATGATGGCTGCATGGGAAATACTGTCAAAACACTGTTATTTGGATGTTGGAGTAAGTCAAATGCACAACTGGAGTAAATGGAGATATTAGTGAGACAACTTTACACTCACCAGCTTGCATACTGATAGCAGGCTTGGTATGACATCCAAAGGTTTATCATGGGCTGCAAAACACAATCTTTGCCAAGTGCCATTCTGCTGGAACTGAAGTGTGGGACAACAGCTTCAAAAAGCACAAACTCCATAGCCTCAGATGGTGCAGACTGACCACAGTGGAAGGAAGCTGCATTTCAGAAGTTATGAATTAAACAAGAGTCTTGACTAAGTAATATCTTCTCATTCAATAGTTGGGTACAGTTCAAGAACCATGCTTAGCTCATCTCTAATTTTACCATATATGCAAGTGCTCACAATATACTGTATATCAATATATTCAGGTGTTATTTTTTAAAATTTATTCACTCCTGGACCTTGGAGATCTGTATTTTTCTTCACATTTCTCCTGTTGAAAATTTCTCCTGATACCACAAATGGAACTAGTGCTTCAGTACAGCAAATGAGCTACAAATAATAATTTTTAAATATCTGAGACGATGGACAATTTTCAAAGGACCATCATGCTCTTTGTGTGCACCTGTATATATAGGAAATCTCATCTGTCTTTAACTGCTCCTGCCTTGAAGTAAAATCCAGTTAAAGTATAAAGTGCATAGTGTGGATTAAAACCCTAAGAAATAACAAACAATGTGTCTGCCTTCCACAGATAATTAATTTTGCTTAACAGCTGAACCACCACCCTCTTTGTCTCCTGGCTTTTAGTTTAGTGTTACCTAGGCTGAGAAAGGCCAGCCAGATGTAAGCAAAACTATTGTAAACTGAGACATTTTTGTAATATGCTGTTAAGGGAGAGTTAAGTAAATCAGTATCAAGACACTGTCCAGTTGGGATGTGTAAATATTATTGTGTGCTTCTTGGCCCACTTAGCAAATACTTTCTTTTCTGTGATAAATCTGTGGCCTCCATATGGAGCATTTTCATGGAGAAAGTATTCCTCACACTCATCTCTTCCTGGCTCGTAATAGTGGTAGGGAACTTTGCGAAAGCCTTCTGACCTGGGGAGAAGAAAGATATACTTCAGTACTTTTTCAAGAAAAAAAAAAATATATAATACAACTGAATGCAAGATAATAGCAGCCTGGCTTGGATCAGCAACAGTGTGGCCAGCAGAAGCAGGGCAGTGATTGTTCCCTGTTCTCAGCATTGCTGAGGCCACACCTCAAATCCTGTGTTCAATATTTGCCTCTCACTACAAGACAGACACTGAGGTGCTGGAGTGAGTGCAGAGAAGGACAATGGAGCCAGTGAAGGGTCTGGAGCACAACTTCCATGAGGAACGACTGAGGGAGCTGGGAGTCTTCCTCCTGGAGAAAAGAAAGCTCTGGAGGGACCTTACTCTCTACAACTGCTTGAAGGGGGGTTGTAATGAGGAGAGAGTCGGTCTTTTCTCCCAAGGAACAAGTGACAGGACATGAGGAAATTGCCTCAAACTGCATCATGGGAGGTTCAAATTGGATATTTGGAAAAAATTATTCACCAAAAGGTGAAGCAAGCACTGGAACAAGCTGCTCAGGGAAGTGGTTGACTCACTAGCCCTGGATGTATTTAAAAGATGTGCAAATGTGGCACTTGGGACACAGTTTAGTGCAGACTTGGCAGTGCTGGGTTAACAGTTGAACTCCATGATCTTAAAGGTCTTTCCCAACCTAAACCATTCTATGAGTGATCTGAAATCCTGTCCATGTGTCAGCACTTGAATTCCTTTGCTGAACTGTAAGGGCTTTCATTCCATCACGATTTCTAGGAATTTTCCTTTGGCAGAAAAAGCTCAGCGTATCTCTCAGCATACACTGATCTTACCAGTCAGTGAGAAGCCGATGGGTTGGCTCTTACGGGCATGGCACATTTTGTTTAACCTGTGATAACTCAGCCCACAAGGCTCCCTCCCTAAGCAAAGTCTTCTCACTGGATAGTCCTAGCTGTTGAAACTGGTTCTTGAACTGGCTGAACAGGGCAGTTATAAGAGTAACATCCAATTTAAGTAGGTAATCCAGTCAGAATCACAACTTAAAGGGGACATCCTCTTTCCTGCCAACAGTGCTATCATGCTGTTGACTGGTTTTACATCAGGGCTATGCAATGCCAGCTTGGCTGAGCTCTCTGAGGATAACCGTAGTCCTGTCACCCCTCATCCCAGGGTTCCTATTGTGTGTTTTCATAAACAAAGAACAACATATGTTCATTCTGTTCATTCCATCTGGATGACTCAATCAGTGAGATCTGCAAGTTCTAAAAAGTCAGTCTCTAATGTTAAGATATCCTAATTAAACAGCTGTGACTCAAATTCTGTTGTTTGTGACATTTTTTAAGTTCTGCCAGCAATGAGTCTCACACTGGAGTGATGCAGAATGTGGAGGGAGAATCTGCACAAAGGCTTGACTTCAGGAGCTCGTGATGCACTGGACTGGTTACATACAGGACTTGGGCCAGCTTAGGTACAGAAGAATAGATGTGTATGTACTAGCACCATACATTGCTCATGACATTTCCTGCTTTTCCAAATGAATGAGGAATAGTTTCATTTTACATTTTTCTACCATACACAGTAGATTAAAATATTTAACTTGGCCTTCTAAAAATTGTGTTTAGAATTATACTTCTGACCACAGGATTAATCCACTGTCACTGTAAGGTCACCAACAGTAGTTGGTTGGAATTTATGTCAGTTTATGGTGATAAAGCTCACAAGACTTGTTTTATTATCTAATTAGAACCCTCTACTACTCAAAACAAGCCATATATAACCAAGAAAGTTCAAGTAGGTTGCTCAATGGTAGTGAAATGTAATTTCAGGTAACTATCCTGGGTTAATAATTTTATTTCACTTCCAGGTGTATTTGGTATTCAGAAAACAATGTATGAGTTTTTTCCTCTATAGATTTGTTTTAGCAATGGAAGCAAATACATTTTATCAAAAGAATATGAGCATACTTTATTTCCAGCTAATTCAGAAACGGAAAAAGATCTTTGATTAAAAATAGCTCCTTATGACATTTGATGTTAGATTTTGTAAATGTTTTTATTTTATCAACAGCACATGCCAGATCAGGAGTGAATATGCTGACAATAGTGTCACATCAGTGCAAAACACTGGGAAATGACTGCCTGATCCATTTTTTGGATTTATGATATTAAAATCAATTGTGAAATTTTGACAAGACATCAGAATTGTAGATGCATGAAAATAATTTTCTTTGATCTTACTTGCAGTAGGTGTCATTTATCATCCCATAGACATGAATTCCATAGCAGGCATCCATAGCCAAAATTAAGGTAAACCAACCCGTGCTGAGATATGAACCTGACTGGACTCTGTGAAAATACAACATACACAAAACAAATTGCAATGAGAAATTATCAACACTTTATCAAAGAAATGCAATCTATTGCCTGGGACAAAGGCATTAAGCAGCTTGACAATCTGTCAAAACCATACAACTACTTTGAATTATTTATAGATATGCTCTCATTCTTCCCAGCTTGGGGCCTCCAGCTATTGTCCACAGGAAAAAAAAAACAAAGCCATGTTAAATACTTGAAGTCAAACAGTGCATCCAGTAAAACAGAAAAGCATTTATTTTCATTTATTTATCTCTCATCTGAAAGACAGCAATTAGTGGAGTTTGTAAAATGAGATAAAGTTTACCAAAATACAGAGTACTGTTGGAATTTGTGGTGTGTGCATGTCAGTAGGCACCATCTTCTTCTGCAAGCAAAATCTTAATCTGCAGTGGGCTATCCTCAACCTGAAAATTCAACCAGTTAGGAATCTTCCAAGGATATTTCGGTACAAAATCATCTAATACAAGGTTCTGAAAACCAAAATTCTGCACATATCCCTTTACCTAATTTTGTGTTATCATTCTTCAAGCTACCATAGCAGAGAGAAAATCACAAGAGGAAGTGCCCAGATTGACAGTCTTGGCTTAAATGATTAGATATATTCGATCAGCCCAGAAGTATTACCTGCACCAGTGAGAAAAATTACATGTGTAAGGATTTGGCTCACAGACTGACTGGTTGGTTGAGCAAACACATGCATTGTTAACCACAAACTAAATCCTGTTTGCTCTGCTCACACAAATGTTACCAATGGGGGACTGGGAGTCAATGGAGTTACCCAGATAACGTAGGCATGCAAGACTCACTGCTTTCAAACCTCACCAGTAGTGAGTGCACACCCAGCCCTTGCTGCTTATGAACTGGCTGAAGTCCAGCTTTGTGCATGTATTGCTTTTAGTTTGACTGAAATCAGTGAAAATAATTTTCTTTAAATTATTTTTAAATGCCCTGTTTCCAAAGGAAGATACCACAAAACCGTCTTAATAGAGCACCTTAATAGAGCTGGGTGTGAGTGAGAAGAGGGGATAGATGAGCTTTCTGGCACACCTGTAAGCTCTTAGCTTTTGGGCATGGCAGGGAGCAGGCTGTTCTCCATCCTAAGTGAAAGCAACCTAATGTTTACACACAATTAAATTTTGCTGTAAAAGAACTCCCAAGTAAGCCCATGTGCAAATCAGTTACTGCCACCAACAAAATCTTCTGAAAACATAGGAATAAAATTTTCATGTGGAAAAATAAAACCCTAAAGCAATTTACCCAGCCTATAAGCCCCAACTTCTTTGTGAGCAGAAGAACCAACCTGATGTTTTTTTCCGTAGCTCAGAGCAAGAGTGTATTCTGGTCTCCTGCCTCCCTCCTCCTGCATAAAATACCAATCAGCGGCTTTTGGCATAGATTCTGCGTTACTTCCTTGCTCAAGTTGAACTAAATATTATTTAAGACAATGGGTGAAAATGTAGTTGTACAGCCTTTATCATGACAATTACCTGGCACATACAGGTCTGAGTTTCAAATTCCTTCTCTGTGTGATACCTTCTATTATGGATACTAGAAAAGCCCCAAGAGCTTTACATTCCTAAAGAAACTCCAGTACACTCCAGTTAAAATAAAACTTTGGTTTTTTTTACTGAAAAACAATTGCCTCAATTCCCAGAGCTGAGTCCAAGAACACTGAAAGTAGTTAAATATTCTCTTCCTTGCCCATGTCTGTCATCCTTCATGGTTGAGCTGGTGTGAACTTCTATCCCTGCCTTTCCTGAAATATCCTTTCCTTTGGGGAAACAGCTAAGTATCTGTTTAGCTGCTTTTGTAAAGATCATACTGGAAATAAAACATAAAGGGTTAACTTAAACTGAAGAACAACAAGTAGAAACTAAAGGCAGGATGTCAAACACCCATGTTTCATTAGGTGGAAACCAACTGTAATTGTGCTTCTATTTTTGACAACTTTATAGCCACAAAAGTGTACAGCTGTTTATCTGCCCCATCAGGATCTTCATCTCTTCAACCAGAATGTTCTGCTACTGTCTAGCGGGAGAATTCCCAATCCAATTCATGTTACTTCAAAATAACATTCTGCCATGATAAAAGACTGCATTGCTGCTAACTTGCTTTCTGCTCTTGCACCAGGAAAACACTGGCCTTGAGCTTTCAAAGCGTTTTAGAATCATAATAACCATTTTTAAGAACACGATGGAGATCAGGACCCTTCCAATAATGGAAGTTTATTGGAGAGCACTATATTGACAGGAGCATCTGAAATTTGCTATACTCAGGAGGAAAAAGGAATTTAAAAAAAGAATTAATCAATATTTCATGTCTTGTTTTAACACCATTGGACCTTAGTCTTCTCATCTATATACTGCACTGGCAGGATAAATAAAAACAGCAGAGTGAGTTCCCAGGTACCTTCCCTGGGAGATGAAGTACATGACAGAATACAGATTATATACTTTAAACCAAAGCACTTATATTCATCCCATTTTTTCCTCTGAAGATACACAGGGATAGAAGGGAATATACTTAAGGAGCGGAGATTCTGGGTGATTTGGTAACACCTTAGAATTCAATCTGATACCATAAACATACTTTCAAAATTCTAATGAAAGTAATATTAGAAATGCAAAAACTATTTTAGCCATCCCTAAAAATCCATAAATCTCAGAATACCTTTTAAAATATCATCCCATAAAACTGTAGTGCAAAGCAATGTCTCAGCCCTTGCTATTATGCTAACACTGTGCACTCAATTTCCCTCTCTACAGGAGAGTTTTACATGTTTCTTGGTCATGGGTTTTTGAGACTCATTAGAAAAAGAGCTCCTCTTGTTACTGCACTCGAATTTCAAATTTTACACATAGGAAATTAAAAAATCCTCCATTTATGTGTAGCATAAGGCTATGTAACTGCACAAATCTGGGGGAAGGAGGATATTAATCCCAAAACAGGGTAAACAGGAGTTTGTTAAACATCATCTGCAGAACTACAGCAGGCTATACATATATCACTGTTGTGATATATGTATGTGCAACAATCCCAAAGTTATTTCCTATGGCTTAGAGAGACTTTTTTTCATAGTATAAAATTAATGGGGTACCAGATCTGGACAGGAAATTGTCTCAACAACTCAGGAGAAAATAATGCATTGGTTTTCAAAATACACTTTTAAAAAGATGGCTTTGCTTTTAAGACATGATTTACAGCTGCATGCAGCAATAAAAGGCAATGCTCACAAAAAGTTGCTTTGTTTACCTTAAAAATGAAACCTTATTTTGCATACGTCCTACTTTATTAGTATTCTTAAAGAAATGATAGGTATAGGTTGCAATTCACTCTGCTAAATACCAGTCACCATTTCAGAAAAGTACATAGGCATATGCTTAATATTAAAGACATTAAAAGACCAGTGGAATCAACTTAGTAAAAATGCTTGAAATGAAGTACATGCTTGCTTATCTTGCTCTTAGTGAAAGCTTAAGTGCTTAAAATGTCATTATTTAATCTCAGAATATAAAAGTAAACTACAAGATTAATAGTTACTTGAAAATTTCAAGTCTCAAAACATAGAATTTGCATTTTTAGTAATGCCTTCCATAAACTCCATCAGAAAGAACTGACTAGTTTCTCACATGTTACAAAAGAGACTTGCATTCTATATTTCAGAAGAAAATAGTAAATGCAATTGCTAGAGTTGTTATATGTGACACATATAGCTTTAATTAAAAATTAATTTAACACAAAAGCAAATAGGTCTTTTCAGCTTTAAGTTTCCACTATTTCACAAAAAGAATAAGAAATTTATATAAAGAAGATGGAACAGAAAATGCACCCTAAAAATGCTGGCAACTGAAATTCATCTTCTTTGACATCTATAACCGCGCTTTGATGTAGGCTAAATGAAGGAAAAACTCATTCTTTCTGTCACTGGGGGTAAATGGAAGAATATAAAATATTTTCTTGGTGATCCAGGGCAGGTGAGTTCAAATCGAGTAAAAGTTTTCTTGTCACTTGAGTTCTGATTTTAGCACAGAATTCCAGGAAGTTCTTTTCTTCATTCAATTGTTCCAGGATTTTTTATGTGCACAATCAATTTTAGTTCTATGGTTCAATGGGCTGTAATTTCCAGTGGGGACTTCAGTGGTAAAAAATAAAAATGAAAAAAACATTTGTGAAGGCAGAGAATATGTCTACACAAGCAATTGCATGTCAATCTGATTGCAGAAAAGAATTTAGAAGTCTATTTTTTAATTCTTTTGGGAGAAACGAGAGATCACAGAAGGTCAATTAAGAGTGTTAATTAAGATAAAACCAAGGAAATTTAGTACTTCAAAAAGCTATTAATTAACAGAGAGCTTGCCAAAAGCATTAGATAGACACTTTTCCTTTTTGACTTAATTTCAAAATATTGCAGTAAAGTAAAATTCAACAGTGACAGATTGAAATGACAAAATTCTCCAGGCCAATTAATTGACAAAAAAGATATCTTTTCATAAAAGCTGTTTATAGATTCTAATTCTCAGATGACTCTCCTACCAAACTACTGAATCAGCAGCAGCTTTATTTGCAGCAGCTTGTCAGGCCTCTTGATTAATAAATAAGTATAAATAAGAGTATTGGTCTAAACAAACTAAGAGACCTATAATACATAGAGTAGAGGCTTTATAATGGGAGATGCCCTTCCAACAAAAAGGTTTGTTAAAATGATTCAAAATAAACAGAAATATTTTCAAAAATATGTAAGAATTAATTTAGACTATGTTCAGGTAGAATTATCTCTGGTACTTATTTATTTGTGTCTGCGGTGCATCAAGAGACCATTAATCCTCTGGGAGGGGTCAGGGTACTCTGGTTTTGCCTGACACTCTGTCATGTGCCCTGTGTCAGCCTCATCTGTGACAGAACCTGGGGAAGGAGGGTAGAAGGCACATGGTCCCTCTGCACTCCCATGTTAAAGAATCAACTCTTTATCC